CATTATTTTCCCAAATGGGTGTAATTGTTTTATTGTTTTGTATCCACAGAAAACGGAGCTCGTCAGTACTGCAAAATTGCCGCTAAGGGGAGTGCATGGGTAGTATTGTCCATTTAAGGGAAAGCGATAAATGTGTTTCTGTGGATGCAAAGACTTACGTACACATAAATTGTTGCAGTGAAGATTGGAAATTATGAAATATATACTGAATGTCATAAACAAACTCTATATTAATTCACCATCGAACAAACTATAGTTAATCTGCAAGTGTTATATTATGTTGTGTTATTGGTCGCTCGGTATAACATACCGTACAATGATTATTTGTTGAAAAACAAAGAGTATCTGACTTAAATAAAACAATATCTAAAGAGTTCGGAGTTTTAAAAACGTTACTCCTAACACCCGTTGATATAACCACAATGACGTTTCAAAATGGCGGATATTTTTGGTTGAAAGTAATTTAACTCGAAAATCCAGATCCTCATTTTTTATTTTATATCATGATTTATTTTAGTATATTGGACTTGAGAGCAGTAGTCAAAGTGGGGTTGGATTATCGATAGGTATATATACGTTTGATAATCTACTATATCTCGCAGTCGCCTTAAGATGCTGAGACTCAAAAATTTCGTAATCAAATGCAAACCTGCAATTATACAATTATTTGGTATTTCCAGTAGTATCAATGGGAAAAGTGATCAAAATGTATTTTCACAAAATTAATCCATGCAAAATATATTAAATAATTAGGTTTTGGAATTATACGTTAAAATAAGCTTTCTCGCTAAATCCACGATTTTTAATCCGATGTAAGGGATTCACATAAAAATTATAAATTCTTTAAAAAAATCTCTACAAGCTACTGCTACATTCTTGAGTGGTAATCCTCGCTTTTCTGGCAGGCAACTTTCCAAGCTTCCACGGCATGTTCCACTTTGATATCGTCCGATATATATTCCTGTAGACCTTCGATGATGCCACATCCCTTTTCCTCTAGTTTGGCATTGATATACTGTGATAGACTAAAGTAATAAAAAATATTAAATTATTTGTATGTTGGGTGTAGAAAATTCAGCGAGGTTACTGAGCAGACTCACAACCATGCAGAGGGATTTAAATGACCATGAGATAACCCAATGAAATTAATATTTCATTTGAGCTATATACTCATGCATACTGAACAGTTTATCTATGAACAAAATAAGAAAGCTGATGTGGTCCTGTCTCCGACGACAATTTGTGCATTGATATATCGGTATATTGGGACGACACAGATTTCGTCTAAGCATCAGTATACCCTTGGATTTGGTCTTGGGGGACAAATCCCAATTAATTTGGTAAAATTATATATATGTTCGCTTTTTAAGCGAAACATATTGCAAAAATATCCTAAAATCTTCAATAGTTTGAAATTATCTAAATAGATGGCGCCAAATTGAAAGTATTTCCTAGAATTTTGTTTCCGAAATACAACACATGTAAATCGGTAAATACCCGTATAGGATCCAAACTAATGTGAGCATGTGATTGGCTTCTAAAACTAGAGTGATCATTGTTTGCGAATTGTTCTTCAGACAATTTGTTTACTGTCATAACCAACCAGTCACAAAATCTGTTAATATACACAAGGTAATATATATAAGGTACAGGGCAACCCTGTCATATACTGAAATAGAACAGTGTCACTCCCATTTATGTACATATTGCCACTTTCACGCTGTATATTTGGATGCTCTTTGCACAATATTATAGAAACCTCAAAGCAAACTCATGTCATCGCGACCAATTTTGTGCTTTTTCTGGACAAGTATTACTAACTTGTATTTTTGGACAAGTATTACTTGTTGCAAAACAAAAAGCATCTTACTTATCGTCAGCCTCTTAGCATACTTGCCTAACTCATTTTGGGCCAAATGCTCATTTTACATATGCTGCCAAAAGTGTCTATATCATTAACCAATAAGAAAGCTTCTTATATGCCGTAAACAACATTTGCCTATGTCACGAGCACGTTTTGGTTTGGATTTTTCCTGTTTTTCTCAAAACTTAAAAAAATGAGTTAGGCAATTATGCTGAGAGGCAACCTCGTCCCCAGGGTCTTCTTCGTACATGGCGCGTGAAAAATGAGAAGACCCTGGTAAAGGCTGCGAAAATCTCCACGATTCATGGACATTTTAGTGCATGCGCGAAAGCGAATTTGCCTTGGCGCTGACCAATTCATTGCTGG